CCCCCCAGGCCACATGCGCTTCTATCGTCCGTCCGTGTGTGTCTATGCCTTTGGTAATGACGGTAATGATACTATCAACAGGGTCAGTGCTGCATTGCGTCGAGCCGCATCTTTGTCGAGGAGTCCATCTACGACGACTTTGTTGAGAGGGTCAGACGATCACACGCACATACACACATCATGGGTGCACATTAGATTACCTCTCTGTGTGTGTGTGTTAGGCGTTGAAGCGTTCCAAGGAGGCCAAGCTGCTAGACCCCAAAGACCCCGAGTGGTACGGCTGATGGACGGCAAAGCGGATGGATGGAGTCACGTCTGTGTGTGTGTGAATGCTTTGTCAGCACGCAGGGCCCTCAGGTGGACGTCAAGCAGTTCGACCGCATGTACGCTCCAAACCAGACAGACAGACAGACAGACACTCTGACAGAGACGCACCCACATGGAGGTGTCACTCTGTCTGTGTCTCTGTTGTGCTGGTCAGCATCAACTACATCCACACCGGCAAAAAGGAGGGCGCCACGCTGCTCTGCGGTGGGCAAATCACACACACCGCAACTGTGCGAAGTCCCTCTCTCTCTGTCTGTGTGTGTGTGTGTGTGTGTCCAGGCGGCAATCAGTACGGTTCAGAGGGCTACTGGGTCGAGCCGACCATCTTCACAGTCCGTCAGGACACAGACATACACAGAGAGAGAGAAATGGAAGTCGATAAGACTCCATTGCATCCCGCCCTCTGCCTGCATCTGTGTGTGTGCAGGACGTCAAGGACGACATGCGCATCGCCAAAGAGGTCCGCCAGGCATCCTGATAACACACATGGAAACACATGTCCCCCTCTCCCCCGCTCTCTCTGTGTGTGCAGGAGATTTTCGGTCCCGTCATGTGCATCCTCAAGTTCAAAGTGAGCGACGAATCAATGACACCGATGTGTGTGCATGTCCGTTTGCGCGTCTTTGTGTGTCTTTAGACGCTCGACGAGGCCATCACGCGAGCCAACACCACCTCGTACGGACTCGGCGCCGGTACACACACACACACACACACACATAAACGGGGAGCCATGTGGAAGTGCATCTCTCTCTCTCTCTCTGTGTGTGTGTGTGTGAAGGCATCTGCACGCGCGACATCGGCAAGGCGCTCACACTGGCCCATAAGATTCGCGCTGGCACCATCTACAGTAATCACACCACACACACAACTGGACATACACACACGCATCCTCCGTCTGTGTGCTCTCTGTGTGTCAGTCAACTGCTATGACGTGTTTACGCCCGAGGCGCCCTTCGGCGGATACAAACAGAGCGGCCAGGGCCGGTCAGCATGGCAGACACAAATCCACGCATCCACACCAACGTGCGCCGTTCTCTCTGTGTGTGTGTGTGTGTGTGTGTGCAGTGAGTTGGGCGAGTCTGGCCTGGATGCCTATCTGGAGAACAAGACCGTCATATGCGACCTCTCCTTCAAGGAATGAAGACAGAGCAACACGCCCATCCACACACACGACACGTCATACTGACACACACAAATGTAAGTGGGCGCGAGAGTGAGAGCGGTGCATGGCTAATGAATGAGAGAGAAGAGAGAATGCATTGTGTGTGTTTTTTCCCTTGATCGTGGCCGATTTTGTGCTGAGATGTGTGTGACCATCCTTAATGCGTTGGGACTGGTGTACGGCCGCCGTGTGCACATGGCCTCTGTGCATGCGGAGCTCGTAGACCAGCTGCCGCGCACAGGGGAGGGCCGCACACAGACACACAGACACAGAGAGAGAGGAAAAGAAGGACTGCCTGTGTTTTTCCGCATGACGACTGACTGGTGATGACTGGTGGGCGGGCGATTTGTTCCGCATAGTGTGTGTGGACGTGTGGCACTTCTCTGTGGTTGAGGATCTCCGTCACCTCACCGTCTGTCTTCACAGATCAGATGTGAGTGCGGTGAAGCGATGAGGATCCTCACGAACTGAGGAATGCCACACACTCCGCACCTATACAGACAGGCACACAGGAGGCTTCTGCTACCGTGACTCGTCTGCCTTTTCGTCTGCATCTCGCTGCATGGGTCGTTGGTTGTGATGTGCGTTGGGGGGCGGGGCGGCTCCTCATTTGACGCACTCAATCAGCCATGAGTGACATTTGTGTGAGGAAGCTGACGTGAGCCATCGGACGGAATTATGGGGGGGATGGACAGAGAGAGAGAGAGGGAAGTGAGCCCAAAGAGGAAGTTTCTGTGTTGCCCGTGTCCACTGACCGACCGACACCCCAGGCCCCCTCTGAATGAATGACCACCATCTTTTTCCGTCGGAGGTGCTTTCGCGACGTCCCTCCACCTGTCAGGTCCCTGTATGTGCGCAGCTTGGTTGAGTTGAGTTGACTTGACTTGACTTGAGTGAGATCTGTGGTACGTGTGATACTGCCTAGTTGGTTGGTCCCCTCCCTCTGGATGTTTGTGCATCATTTTTTTCCCTCATCCCCTCAGCCAAGGCAGGTGATGACACTGGGAGGGAGTGAGCGACAGAGTGACGGATAAAAAACAACGCAGCGAACAAACGCAGCAAAAATGGCAATGAATGCGATCCTCTGCAAGCTCAGCTCGCAAACTCGGGGAGTGAGAAAAAGCCGGAGCGTCCACGCTGGCAGTTGATGGTGACCTTGCCAGCTATTGACCCGATCTGCCTTGGCTGTTGATCTTGGTTGATTGAAGGTTGACCACCCCATGACCTCATCTTCGTCGCACACCACCGGCCTCTCTGGACTGGGTAGGCTCTATCCACCAGATGGCGGTTGATTCATTCTCTCCCCTCCCTGTGTGTTGTGTGTCATTCATGTGCTTCTCTCCGTCTTGTGATTGACTCTGTCTGTCTGTCTGTCTGTGTGTCAGGTGTGATTGGCAACGGCACGTTTGGCGCCATCATCGACAAGAGGGGACGATACGTGTGGGCATGTCCTGGTCAGTCAGTCACACAAACATGACAACCACACATCAATCCATCTATGTGTGTGGTTGGGTGTGATTGTGTGTGTGGTCGTGTGTTCAGGTCATTTCGGCAGCGACCCGATCTTCTCGTCGCTGCTCAACAACGACTCTGAGGAAACAGGCTTCCAGGACATTGTGCTCACGGGTACGTATCATTGGATGCATTGGATGGGGGCGTCTGGGTGGGGGTGGTGTGAGATACACTACACACGGCCATCGGTCCTGACTGCCTGTCTGTCTGTCACCCCCCTCTCTCTCTCTCTCTCTGCGTGTGTGTGTGATAGACTTTGTGTCGTCCCACCAGCGGTATCTGCCGCACAGCGCAATCCTCTGTACCGCACTCACCAGCGGAGGTACACACACACACATACAGAGGGATGGTACACCTGAATTCGCACACGTGTGTGTGTGTGTCAGCCAATGACGTGGTGGAGATCCGCGACTTCGCGCCTCGGTTCCAGATCTTTGACAGGATACACTGCCCCTTCCAGGCAAGCAGGGCAACCACACACTTGAGGGAGGGAGGGAGGGAGGGAGAGAGGGAGGTGCGATGGGTCCACCCACTTGACGTGTGTGTAGACGTTTCGCATCTTGGAGCCGATCCACGGCGACCCCCAGATCACCATCCGGATCAGACCAACCTTCAACTACAACAGCACAGATGGCTTCCAGGTACATCAGACACACAGACAGACAGATGGCCGTGTGTCTACAAAAAAAGTCTGTGTCTGTGTGTGTATGTGTGTGTGTCGATCGTGATAGACGCGCGGCAGCCACCACATTCGCTACTGCGGTCCGAGGGACACATGGCGCGTCACGACCAACGCACCGGTCGGTCATCCAGACAGGCCGTCTGTGCGTATCTCAAATGAAATGGGTGTGTGTCGTCTCTCGTGTGTGTCTGTGTGTGTGTGTGTGCAGATAGCGTCCATTCTTGAGGAGACCCCCTTTCTGCTGCAGAACAGGCTCTTCATCATCATGGGCACCGACGAATCTCTGCAGGCACTGAACTGAACAGCCCACTTAGACACACACACACAGACACACACACACACAAAGGGCGTGTGTGTGTGTATGTGTCCATGTGTGTGTCGCATCGGTATGTTGGTGTGTACAGTCTCCGATATGCGACGTCTGTCTGGATTTCGAGCGCAAGTGTCTGTCCTACTGGAACGACTGGGTCACACGACTCGCACTGCCCGTCGAGTACCAAGAGGTTCTCACTGTCATCACACACATCCATCCATCCATCCACCCACACATGGCTGTGTGTGTGTGTCGTGTAGGTGTTGATCCGCGCCTCCATCACGCTGGCCGTGCTCAACAGCGAAGACCAGGGCGGACTTGTGAGCTCCCTCACTATGGGCATCCCTCTCGCAAGCGACGCGCCGGCCAGCAAGGTCCGTCTGCATCTGTGGCATACACACAGCGACACACGTACTTGACCTGCACACGGGGGCGTGTTCTTGTGTTGTGCTATGGTGTGGTGTGGTTAGGATGAGCGCGTGTGTCGTCTGTACGACGAGTGTCTCTCCCTGTCTGTGCTGCGCAACTTCGGGCTGTTCCCCATCGGCAGGAAGTTCCTGGAGTTCCTCAAGAACCGGTGCGTTTGAGCACACGGATGTCCTCCACCCACCTGTTGTGTACTCGCCTCTGTGTGCGTGTGTGTGTGTGGGTGTCAGCGTGTTTTCATCCTCCCTGCCGCAGCTGACTTACGGCATTCACACGGTGCGGACACACCTGCACTTAGATGGGAATGCAGATGTGTGTGTGTGGGTGTGTGCAGGAGACGAGCATCCCGTTGGAGCGAGCTCGGTATCTGGCGGGCTACAAGGGAATGGGCAGCGTCAACATCGGTACACACACACACATACACACACCGACGATGCTTCACACGTGACTGCACTGCACTGCACTGCACTGCACACAACAAACAGGTGGCCTTAGCTCGGGTGACGACCAGCAGCAGGGAGGGGCCGACAAGCAGCAGCCCACACACGACTCAACAGCAGCCACCCACCAGCACAATGGTCAGCACACACAACCACACTTAGACACACACACACACACACACAGAGAGAGAGAGAGAGAGAGAGGAAGGGAGAGAGAGACAGACAGACTCTGTCTGTCTGCGAGTAGGTGTGATTGTGGAAGGGGGCAGGGGCATGCGGCCTCTGGTCGGGCTGCTCGTCATCGCATTGGCACAGGTACACACACACACACACACACACATGCACATGTGTGGTTGCTGGCTGTTGGTTGCTGGTCAGGTGTTTTACGATCCTCGTCTGCTGCCGCTGTCGACCCACAAGCTCTTCGAAAGGCTCGAACACCTGGCAGGCGTCGCCTTCAGCGCCTTCATCGAGATGCAGCACGCCATACAGGGCGTACTGCAAGCCGAGAAAATTGAGGGTACGCAAGGCAGCAACCGAGCCCTCCCCCATTGTGCATCCAAGCGCATCGATCCGTGTGTGTCGTTGAGGCCATGCAGCAAGCCGCTCGGTGCGTCCCCCCTCTCACCCAGCACCACCACCAGCAGCGGCAGCAGCACCAGCGGCTGACACATCAGCAGCATCGGCTGCCGGGCCAGAGGGATGGTTCGACGATGAACCGCGGTAGGTGGCTGACCAATCAAATCAATCACACGTCGGGAAACACTGACACTGGATGTCGCGGTTGAGTGCGTGTAGGTCTCTGACGGTGTGGGAGGACGAGGACGACGACTTCTTGCGTCAGATCGAGCACGCCAGAAGCACCATGCAGGCGCTCGTGACCGACATGCACTCCCCCCCACCGCCCCCGCCACCCGCACACAACGACACACGACGGTACGGTACACACACCAGTGAGTGGCAAGAGAAGGGAAGCCCGTTCATTGCATGTGTCTGCGTGTGTGTCATTCATTCCTTCATCACAGGCCTCACTCCCGCACGCCGTTCCCCCCGCCCCCGCCCCCTCCCGCACACCCGCACGCTTACCAACACCCACAGAGGTCTGGTGCGCACACACATCGATCATGACACAACAGGGACGGACGGATGGATGGATGGATGGACGTGTGTTTGTGTGTGTGTGTCTGTGTGCAGGCGTGGCAATGTGGCAAAGAGGTTGCCATTGGTGCACACCTTCTCGTCTGTGCTGTGCTGGGCGGCGGCTGAGCGGATCGCCCAGGTCTCGGAGAGGCTTGAGCAACACGAGAAGGTCCACACACACACACACACACAGAGAGAGAGAGAGAGAGGGAGAGTACATCCTTCAGTTCCTGACATGAATGTCGTTTGTGTGTATGGTGTGTATTGGATGGCATCCATCAATCCCATCAAATCCATCCATGTATCAGAAGCTGCAGTGGTGGAGTCGCGCCAAGTACATGCGGGAGACCATCCTCACACACGCATATAACCCACACAGACAGACATTCACCACACACTGGAAGGTAAGCAAATAAACTAACTACTGCCTGGCCTGCAACACACACACATCTCTCTCCCTCCCTCCCTCCCTCCCTCCCTCTGTGTGTGAAGGGTCACTCGGTCGGCCCGTCGTTGTTGCGTCTGGCCGAGGTGGGCTTCATCAGCGGCAGCGACGTCCGATTCGCAAACACTGTGCGGGCCTTCGAACAAGACGCAGCCATGACCTGCACCTGCAGCTACAGCGCCCTGGTCAGCGCCAGCCTGCAGCTGCACTGTTCACAGGACCCACACACACACGAGCCAGGTGGCAGCAAAGACAGCACCAACAAGCAGCAGCAGCAGCAGCAGCAGCAGAGACAGCGGCCTCCCTTGCTGAACAGCAGCCCGACCACTACAGCTGCTGCGGCCTCTCTGTGCGATTCGCTCAAGGCGAGTGCGACGACCTTCACGACCAACACGCTGCTGTGGTACGTCGAGGCGCTGCGGGCGTGCGGCCGGGCCGTGGAGGCGCGCCTGCTCTTCGACTCACTGCTCAGGTGAGGTGACTGACCTGGCCCCCACACACACAGAGAGAGAAAAACAGAGGGGCACACTGCACTTGGGGCATTGCATGCCATCGTGTAGGTCTGCGAATGAGTGCGGTCTGCTCTCTCAGTCGATTGACATGAAGTAAACCAGCCAGCCACACCACACAGGGAGGAGGTGTATGTGGGACCGACGTGTGCTGTGCTGTGGTATGTGTGTGTCCACTAGGAGCGGTGAGTTGTGGGGCAACTTCCCCCACGCGGCCACCTGCCTGTCGCTCATTCGGTGCGGCACACGGCTCTCCAGGAACTGGAACTAAATGAACGTCTGTGGCCTGACGAACGGACGCCGTGTGTACAGTACAGTGTACTTCCACGTATGGATGTGTGTGTGTGACCTCCATCGCTCATCCATTGATTGGTTCATTTGCATGAATAGATCAAGTGAATGTACAGTACACCAAGTGAAGTGTCTGTGAGCCACCCCACCCACTCCGGTGGGTTCCGTCGTACATACATCCATGATCCATCCATCGATCGCAAAAAAGAGTGAGTGTCACCGTATTGATTGCATTCACACACTAATGTGATGTGCCTCATCGATTCGATGGACTGGACAGACCGACTCCGGTTACTGTACTGCAGGCCTCCCTCAGTCGTAGTGCAGCAGCCTTTTCTTCTCCTCAGCGTCCCTGTCCGCCTCGTGCGCCTCTTCCGACCGCCCCTCCGTCCGTGCAGGCACTGCGGCATGCCTCGCGGAGGTCGCTCTGGACCGCACCTCCCGAAGACCTCCCGCCTCTGTTATTCTTTGTTCAACTGATCGGTTAATACATGTAATGAACAAAGAAAGGCGACAGGAAATGGCCAATTCAATTCGTGGAGACTTGACGAGTGACTTGGTGTCGCCTCCGCCTTTGCGAAATCTGCACCCACAGAAGGAAGCGACCCGGTCAGTCAGGCAGGCAAGCAGGACGGCAATGGATGGTGCACTCACTGCTGGCCTGCGTACTGTACTTGGTGTGCAGATGATGATCGGATTCCTGAAACCCGACCCTGTGTCGCCGAAGGCGTCTTGAAGGCTGAGAGAGCCATCCAGCCCCTTGTCAACACCCTTGAACGTCACGTCCTCAACGCGCGTGCCGACGGGCGCAAACAGACTCTGCAGCCCGCGGAGGTCGGGCACATCCTTTGTGATGACGCACGCGGGCTGTTCCAGCCTGTTGACGTGTGATATGAAGCGGTAGATTCCCGACCCCTTGAGCTCAGCCTGCATGCTCATCGCACCAGCCTCTGCGTCGCAACACACACACATCAAAGCAAGGAGGAAACAAACGGGTGAGTGAGTGAGGCAACGGCAGCGCGTGGGGGGGAGGGGAGGCTTTTCCCACTCACCATATTGGGCCGGGTCCATGACTCTGCTGCGGTGCTGCGGTAGATCTGCAGATCTGCAGGACGGAGGAGGAGATAAGCAGGTGAAGGGAGATTGGCTGAGAGGCAGATCAACGCGAGCAGATGGAAGCTGCAAATGACGCGCACACCGTCCGCGTGCCTTCTCCAGTGCCTCTCCCTATGTGGGGCATCTGTTTACTCCAAATTGCGAGCTCCCACGAAAATCCCGCTCCCACGCGTCTCAGCTTTTGTCTGAGCATGAATCCAACCGTCGCACGTGCGCCACTGCTTCTCACGTACGTAAGACCAACAAAATGAAGTTGTACGACATCTCTCTGTACAGATACCTGCCAAATGACCATCGATATTTCAGCGTCTGTCTCTGCGTACTACGTACCAATGAATGCAGGTTCGCGTCTGAGGCTCGGCATCCGTCCCGTCGTGCCCAGCACTTCACGGCACCCACCGGAGACGGCCGACACCCGAGTCATTACCGACCCCAACAAGCAGCAGAGCCTGTAGAAGCAAGGGAGGCCGATGTTGCGGTTGCCCTTGAGGACGATGATGACACGGGGCTGCTGCCGAAGGGGTACTACGACGATGAGGGGGTTCAGGTACGTACGGAATGAGTGGGAATTCTGCGGAACTTGCGCGCACACTGTGTCTGTACACATCCATCTCCCGTACGCTGAGCAGGACTACTACTTCTGCCAGACAGAAAAGCGGATAGTTGGCGAAACGCGGGTCGCGGCGGACGTGTATGGCCTGTGCTGTGTGTCTTGCTTGGGCGGTTTTGAAGTGAGCCCCATCGGAAAGGTGCGTGACTAATACTCACTCATAGCATCAGGAAAAGCCATGCATTGCATCGTTGATGATCGTTCTTTGTCCTGGTTCTCCTCAAGGCTATCGGGATGCACCCAGTCGCGTCCTTCTGCCTGGCAGCGCTTGCTGTAGCGATCCAGTTGGCGTTCCTGACCGTCCTGGACATCAACGTGTGGAATGTGCTCGTCTCAACGCTGGGCGACATGGAGATAACGAGCGAGGACTTGCGGAGAATACGGGAGGCGTTCGATCAGCTGATCGAGGCGCAGACGGTGCACCTGACAGAGCAAGACTACCCCATTGATGATCTGATATGCAGTATCGCTGGAGTCGTTGTCCTCATGTTGGTGCTCGGTCCCGACATTCGTGAGCGTGTCAAGTGTCTCGAGCTGACGGGCTGTATGGCTTTCCCCCTGACCGAGACAATGTGGGCCGACTATGAACTGAGGGTACGCTGCACAAATGCACCCACCGATGCCTTCGACTGGCTGCTATTTCAAGCACATACCGATTGTTGATTTGTTGACCGCGCGTCTGCCAACCAACCAGATGTCTCATCCCACGTGGCGGCCCCTGCTGCCTCACCGGACGCGTTCGATCATCGAGAAAAGCGCAGGATACTTCTACCTCTATCTCGCGGCACTCGCCAACTTCACTGGTCAGTTCCACGAAGGGAGACACCACAGCCAGTCAGCTTCCGTCCTTTCACATTTCCGACGGCTGGCTGTGTGTCAGGCTTCTGTATGGACTTCTACTTGGAAGCAATGTGAGCAACTTCCAACGTGGCATCCTCGAGTTCAGTGCGACAATATCACATAGACCAGATGACGCACATTAAGATAAACAGGTCTGAGGGTGTGTGTCCGTTCAGCGCTCATCCAGATACATGAAACCCAAAACAGATGACATCCATACACTCCAATCCACCGATCGTCACCCCTCCTAAGCTAACACACAAATATCTGTCCCCTTCCCTCACGACCTCTCCACCTTCCCTCTGTCTGCGACCGCTGTAGGCAACACACACACAGAGAGACAGTCATAGAGAGGCACAAGCATGTGTGTATTGCATTGCGGTCCTCACCCAGGGTAACATGCATCTGACCTTTGATTTCTCATCTCTCGTCGCATGTCATTCTGAGACGACCGGCTCCCGCAGCCTGGCCCAGTTCAGGCTCTGCAATCGGCTGGAATGGTGCGCAAGACCGGTCGAATCGTTTATCTCCCCGATTGGAAACCCTGCCGCAAACTCGACGGCTATGACCCTGCACTCGAGACGCGAGAGCCGTCTGCCGTGCACCTGTTGGTGGCGCACCATTCCCTCCCCCGCCCCTTCCTCTCTGTGCATGCTCTCCACAGACCGATCGGCCGCCACGATCACTTCCGGCCAGACCTTCATGTCGCTACGGTCGGCTGCCAACTGAATGGGGAGAAAATTGAAGACCAGGGGATGATGTGTATCACGTCTCATATCCGTTTGTATGAGGTTTGTCATACCTTTGCGAGGAAGCAGTGATACTTCTCCAACTTGCCGCCCTGTGCGAAGGAGGAGGGGGAATGACATGGGGGACAGAAGCTTCCTTCATTGTACCATACTTCACACACACACACCACACGAATACTTACGTGGCCACCACCACACGATGATGCGCTGGCCTGCATCACACAACGCAGGGACGGATCATGTCATTCGATTTCACGACGAGGCCCGGTGAGTGACATTGACGGACCCCGAACAAGCGCATGTGCCCTTGGCTCTGTGTCTGTCCCTCAGGGAGACAGTGCAGGACGTCCTGGGTATCTCCTTCCTCACCGATGTGGACGTCTTTCTCTTGCTTGCCCTGCCCATCCTCTCCAATCTCTCCGTCCAAGAGGCCAACTGGCGAATCGTGGAGACGCTGCGGCCCTACCCATCGCCGTCGCTACATGCGGACGGCAAATACCAACCTGTGTACCCCACCAGGCCTCGCTGCAGCCTTAATATTGTCGGCGTGTGGGGGCGCATTCTGCTGGCGTCTCTCATCGGCACTCTCCTGACTCCCCTCTCTCTCCTCGTGCTGCTCACTGCCGCGGCCATGGCGCGAATCCGCACACGAGACAAGGCCGTGATATATCGATTGAGTGGCGTGAGTGGGATGGTGCTTGGCGCGTTCTGGCTCGGGTATGAGGCCGTGCAGCTGTGCTTGGATATCTGGCGAGCGCTGCTGACCTCATTCTTTGTCGGGATGCTCATCAGCTACAGCGGCCTGAGCAGTTTCAAAGCTCTCTCATGGTGGTTCACGACACGGCAGCCGAGCTCGTGGACGGCCAAATTCTCATGGGTGGCGCTGTGGAAGTCGCTGGGTCAGTTCCTGCCGCTCGGCGTGACGCTGCTGCTTCATGTGGCGACGAATCGGGCTTACTGGTGGGACATATACGAGGAGCGCCTGGAGAGGCAGGGGTTACTGGCGGGTGGCCATCCCGGTGCCACCAGCATGGGGCAGGGCGACAGAGAGACCGGGCTGGCTGACGAAAGGACTGGGCTGTTGGCGAGCCAAGACAACGAGCTAGCGGCTGAGGAGTGACAAGTGGGCCGGGCGGGTGATTGATTGATTGATACATACGTCGACTAGTTCGCTGAGACCTTAAGGAGCATCAATCAGATCGATCTGTATATGTGGCTTAAGGTGCATGCAAACAGAGACGACATCTATCGTCACGTGAATGTATGTACAGTCGACGGACACTCACTGGCTTGCGTGAGGTCGCGTGTCTCAACACGGTGCTGGAGTGGCTTTGATTGTAGGCAGTGCGTGTGTGCATCGGTCGATCCATGCGTTGTGGTGAGGTGGCTACACATACACAACTACATACTTGAATGGCTGGCCGCGTGCCTCCAGTACCTCTGCGCTATCTTCAACTTTTTTTTGCCGCATGGGGGGCCCGTTGCGTGTTGGGAGGTACCGTTGAAGTGAAAGGGGGACGACCAGACACCTGGTCTACGAGTGTTGGAGACCTCACGAGCATTAGATGAACACACTCATTGGGTTGCTTCGTTGATCTGGTCTGCCCTCTAAGTAACTGAGCCAAAATGGCACACACACACTCTTGATGCTATGCATCAGACAGACCAAAAAAGGGATCAAAACACTCACGCACTCACGCAGGCCGCAGGCAGGGGGGCCTCATTCGACCCTGCATGCGTCGGACCCACTGACTGCAGAAGCGATAGAAAGCGCCAAACTGAGCCGCAGATAAGCAGCAAGCAAACAGGAAAGCAGCTGGGTACCCTCAAGCAAAGCACCCCGGCTCGTCCACCCACCCACGCTGCACAGACACACACCTCTACTGAGACACCACACACAATGAACGGTTGCTTCGACTGTACACACACGCAATGTAATGCACTCACTACCAAAACTGCCCTATACACACACGCGCACACACACGTGTCACGCACAGTTATCATTGTCATGCCGCAGGTTCCTGATGCGGCCGTCAGTCGACGGACACACCCTGTAGAACAGCCGGCTGCCGGGGGAGTCCTCCGGGATCGCACCCAGACTCAGCGACCGGTAGAAGGTCTTGACTGTGTTCTCGGGCAATGCCACCTGCACAGGCACAGACAGACAGACAGACAGAGGGAAGGCGTGTGTGTGTGCCTGTGTGTGGAGAGGGGTGTCGACCTTGTCGACGCCCAGTTGCGTTTTGAGCCGCTGCGGTGACGACATGAATTCAGCCACATGCTTCTTGGTCTGCAGTGCACACACACACATGAAATGAATGAGAGTGGGCAGGGCAGGCGGGCAGGGGTGTGTGTGTGGGTGGGTGGCTGACCAGTGGGTTGTAAGGTTTTTTGAATCCGTTGGCCATGGCGGCCATGTGGAAGACGTTACGGATCATGGTGGGGAGGTAGCCCACCTCCTCGCTGTCATGCACCACACGACACGACGTGAAGCAGTCGTAACCATCTCTGCCGTCCTGCCCACACAGATACACAGCACACAGACACACAGAGAGATAGCGACACCCACATGAGTGTGTTGGTGTGTGTGTTGGTAAGTCTGCTTACTTTGAGGTATTCCTTGGTGCAGAGTGTGTACGTGGCGTCCTCCTGCAGCGCCTCCCACTCGGCCCTCTTGCCACGCTGCACCTGCACACACAAAAAGAGAGGAGAATGCGCGTGTGTCGACCACATCTGGGTGCATGGCTGCCTGCCTGCCTGCCTGCCTGCATACCATAACGGTCGAGAACTCCACGCGGCTGCCTGCCGGCTTGGAGGGGTCGAACCCGAACCGAATGCCGCTCACCTAAACACCGACCGCACCACAGACCCACAACAGGTGTGCAAACATACAAAGGGAATAATGCTCAGTGAGTGGGTGTTGTGCTGACTACCTGTGGGAATCGGCCCTCAAACCTCGGCACGAGCGAGACGCCGTTCTCGAGCGCGGCGTGCAGCTGCCGGCCGTTGACCTCCAGCACACACATTTCGTCCATCATGGGCAGCATAGCCACCAGGTCGCGCAAGCGGAAGAGGCCGGGCGGGAAGAGCCGGTCGGACCGGACGGTTCCCGAGTTGAGCAGTGCCATGTCTGAGTGGGAGTGGTTGCGCATGAGATCGCACAGCCAGTTGCCGCAGTTGGTCTCGCCCGTCCGAATGCGCGAAAACCTAACACGGCCACACACAACCGCGCACACAGGCAGCATAGCGAAAGGGCTACACACACAGCGGACACACACGTCGACAGGGTACGTTACCTGGTCTCCAGAGGGACGGCCACTTCGCCGATGACCTTCTGCATGGACATGGCCAGCCTCTGCATTCAGACACACGTGTGCGACAGATCATCATTGCGTCTGTCTGTCTGTCTGTCGGCCGTTTCACGTCACGTACGTCTAAGTGTTTGTCGACGATCCTGTCGATGGCGCTGATGGTGTTGAAGCTCTCCTTGGTCACCTGCAGTGCACACCACATACCCATCGAATCGACACACAGAGAGAGAGGTAAGACCCTCTTGTGCCTCCCTAAAGTAACCGCATTCTCTCTGAGTGACCCACCCACCTCGATTTTGTCCCACTCAATCACGGAGCCGCCGCGGAACCTGAACACACAAACACACACGAGCGCAGACAATGGTCGCCTCTGTGTGTTCAAATGCAATCCTAATCGACTCACCGTGGCATGACGACCTGCCCGCCCTTTCTCTCTGACGGCAGCAGGCCTGACTGCTCGCGAGACCCGCACTCGGACGTGCACTGGTTCCACGAGTGCTTGTGGCCGCGATGGCAGCACGGAGTGTCGTCACTGCACACCACACACACACACACACACACACAGAGAGAGAGAGAGAGAGACACATGTGGAAGGGGTGATTGATTTTGCGTGCGTACGCGTCGCTCTCGTCTGGGTCGAGGCTGTGGTCGAATGCGTCGCCCACGTTGGGGCTGTCGTCTTCGTGTGTGGTGTCGTCGTTGGTGGGCCGCGGGCTGATGACGATCCGCGTCAGCTCGCGGAAGTCGGTCCCACTCTTGGCCACGACCGTCTTGCCGATGAGTGTGACGCCGTAGTACTCGTGGTCATGCCCTCCCAGGATGAGGTCGATGTCCTGTCCCCCACACACCATATGGATTGGCTGTGTGTGAGTGAGTGTGTGTGTGCATCGGTTTGGTCGGTGGGCACCTCACCTTTGCTTCCCTCGCGAGCCGTTCGTCGTTGTGCGCCCTCATGTGTGTGAGGGCGATGATCATGTCCACACCCTTGGAGCGAAACAAACTGCTCAACCTGACAGACAAACACATGAATGAATGACGCACAGATGGCCGCGCGGCCGCGTGGGTGTGTGCGTACTTGTCGGCCTCTTCGACGAAGTCGGTGTAGTGGACGTCCTCAGGGTCGATGGTGGCGAGCGTCTCGAGCCACTCCTTCTCTATTAGACCCATAATACCTGCAGTCAACCAACCAACCAAGCCACACACCACACCACACCGCACACAATCATTCACACCACAAGCGTGTGTCGCGTATGTATTGTGTTTGTCTGTGTTGTTGTGAGGTAGGTGAGCCGACTTATGTACCGATTTTGTATTTGTGCCACTCGAAGAGCCTGTATCTCGTGCCATTGCCCAGCGGCTGACTCGCCAGAGGGTCCCACGCGTTGCTGTCAGTCAGCCAAAGCACACAGGCAGCCACGTCCACACACACACACATATACACACACACTGTGTGTGCGTGTATGTGTGTGTGTGTGTGAAGGAGCGTACCTGATAAGCCACGGGAAGTTGCACGAGCCTGCAGAGCGATTGGTCGGCAGCACCGACACAGACAGACACGCACAAAGAAGAATGGAGGGGGGCCATCGTGGGTGCACCTCTGTCTGTCTGTCTGTCTGTCTGTCTGTCCACTCACTCAGTCACTAACTGACCGGCCAGGTACTCGAGGTGGTCCAGGCCAAAGTCGAAGTCATGGTTGCCGAAGCACGCCGTGTGGATGTTCATCATGTTCAAAAAGGGCACCTGTGGACCCACACCACACCACACCACACCACACCACAGACTCAACACCAGTACTGGTGCTTTGGTGTGTGTCGATGGCTGCATGGCTGCACTGCAGCGCACCATGTGTTTGCCCCGTGTGTTGGTGGACATCATGGAAGGGTTGAAAACGTCCCCAGAGAAGAAAACCAGCGGCGAGTGGCCCGCTGACCCCACAGACGACTGACGCACACACACACACACACACAGGTGTGAGAGGTGATGCAAGTGTGTCTGCGTGTGTGTGTGTCTGCGTGTGTGTGTGTCGGCAGGTGTACTGCCCTGCCCTGCCCACCCTGAGTGCCGATATGAACCTGGACACCCCTCCGGTGCCGTCCTTGGCGGGCTCGATGTTGTACACATCTGACAAGACAAGCAGCACACATACACACACAGATGTATGTGTTGTGTGTATGTGTGTATTCTGTTCACTCACACGTGGACGGACACCATACCATTGAAGTGGAGTATGATGATGGGGTCTTCCTTGCCAGCCAGGCCGTCATAGTCCTTGACGTAGTCCTCATAGTGAGTCAGCACAAACTCCTGGCTCGTCTGCACCTATGTGTGTGTGTGCAGGAGAGCTGCTGCCTAGATGCCTGCCAGCCTGTCTTCCACTTTTCCGTGTGCAGCGCTATGTTATCGTTGGTTACCTGGACGCCCTGCGTGGACCGATCAATGAGGCACTGGCTCTCACGCCGACTGTCGACAATGCTCCCTAAACACACACACACACAGGCAGGCAGGCAGACTGATGTGCAGCCATGCATCTACTGCTTCCCAGAAGAATGTGTGTGTGCATACCAGCCCTGCTGGTGCCCGCGAGGCTCGGCACGGTCCCCACACTCGTGTGTCGGCTCTCCATCGATACACTGGACAGCTGGTCTTGCTTGCTGCCAGCAATGTCAGCTTCCCTGTCCCTCACGCTCTCGTCCTTCAAAGGGTGCTGCTGGCCGCCCTTGTCAACGACCAGCTCGCTGCGCGCATCCCGAAACGCTGGGCTGGGAGGGGAGGGAAGGGAAGGGACATCCCCCTCAGCCACGGAGGAAAAAAACACAGGGCGTTTCTGTTGCTGCCGGGTTGGTATTCGGTGCAGAGGGCCCTTCTTTGCTGCGCTTCTGTCCTCCTTCTCGTCGCGATCGTGGTTGCGAGCTTGAAAGTGTGCTTTGGCTGTGTGCCACGATGAAGATAGAGGAGGTGCAGTCGACGACGAAGGCGCAGCGCATCGCGTCACACAGCCACGTCAAGGGCCTGGGACTCAGGGACGATGGAACTGCCGAACCCATCAGCGCCGGTAGGAATGTGAATGGATGAATGCGTGAATGCGGGCAAACACACACAGATCTGTCATTCACTCCTTCGATGGGTGTATCGCGGTGCGTTGCGTTGCGTGTGTGTTGTGCTTTTGTGGATGGATGGATGGCTGGCTGGATGGCTGCAGGTATGGTCGGTCAGGAGAAGGCCCGCGAGGCCGCCGGCATCGTCGTGGAGCTCATCAGAAGCAAAAAGATGGCCGGCAAGGTCAGTCTGTCAGTCAGTCAGTCAGTCAGTCACCCCACTGGCCTGCCTGTTCCATGTCTGCCACCACCCCGTCCATCCACTCGTGTGTGTGTGTGTGTGTGCAGGCGCTGCTGCTGGCTGGTGCTCCCGGCACAGGCAAGACGGCCATCGCACTAGCCATATCGCAGGAACTCGGGCCAAAGGTCGGTCGGTCGCCACTTACTTGGCCATAATAGATGGACATAGCACCCCAGTTACCTTGTGTGCTTTGGCTGGCTGGCTGGCTCACTGTGGTGCGTTGACGGTGCGGTCGTGGTGGTGTCAGGTGCCGTTCTGCCCGATGATCGGCTCGGAGGTCTACTCGTCTGAAGTCAAAAAGACAGAGGTCAGCCAGAGGGAAGAATAACAGCCAAGCAGACAGACGGAGTGTGTGTGGGGGGAGGGGGACTGCAGATACTGATGGAGAACTTCCGTCGTGCGATAGGGATTCGGATCAAGGAGGTCAAGGAGGTCTATGAGGGGGAGGTCACCGAACTCACACCAGAGGAAACCGAAAACCCACACGGTACGGTGCCGACAGACACCAGAGGACACACACACCGACACACACACAAGAACGACGTCATCGTGCATGCGGATGTCTGTGTGTGTGTGCGTGTGTGTGTGTTGTGTAGGTGGTTTCGGCAAGGCTGTGAGTGCGATAACGATCGGCCTCAAGACGGCCAAGGGCACCAAGACACTCAAGCTGGCGCCTCAGGTACACACACACGGCCACACTGACGGGAGGCACTGGTTTGTGTGCGTGCCGGGCTATGGTGGTTGCGTGTGCGTCTGATTAGATATGGGAGGGGCTGCAGAAGGAGAAGGTCATCGTGGGCGACGTCATCTACATTGAAGTGGGCCACACACACACACACACGCACTGCTGACATACATGTCGACTTGTGTGTGTGTGTTTAGGCCAACAGCGGTGCGGTCAAGCGTGTGGGTCGGTCCGACGTCTACGCCACCGAATTTGACCTCGAGGCCGAAGAGTGAGCCAGTCAGCGAGAGCACATCCACAAGCACCTTCCGCCCACACGTGTGTGTGGTCTGGTGTGGTGTGCAGGTATGTGCCAGTGCCCAAGGGCGACGTCCACAAGAAGAAGGAGGTCGTGCAGGTCGGTCCGGTCGTCGGCAGACATACACACATACAGCGACTCACTCACCCATTCTCGCAGCCGGCCGCCGCACACGAGGCACGTGTGTGTGTGTGGTGGTGGTGGTGTGCAGGATGTGACGCTGCACGACCTGGACGCCGCCAACGCCAAGCCGCAGGGGGGCGGCGACATCACGTCGGTGCTGGGTCAGTTTCTGAAGCCCCGCAAGACGGAGATCACCGAGAAACTCAGGATGGAGATCAACAAAGTCGTCAACCGATACATCGACCAGGGTAAGTCACACACACACCCCGACCCACCCACCTCTCTCTCCCTCTCTCTCTCTCTGTGTGTGTGTGTGTGTGTGTGTGTGTGTCGACTGACAAGGTGTGGCTGAGTTGGTGCCTGGCGTCTTGTTCATCGACGAGGTGCACATGTTGGACATCGAGTGCTTCACGTACCTCAACAGGGCCCTCGAGTCGTCCCTCTCGCCCATCGTCATATTCGCCACCAACCGGGGCATCTGTACCATCAGGTACCTCACACACACACACAGATAAATCCACCCAATCTCTGTGTGTCTGCCTGTCTGCCTCTCTCTCTCTCTCTGTGTGTGTGTGTGTGTGTGTGTGTGTGCAGGGGGACCGACATAGTGTCGCCTCACGGGATCCCCGTCGACCTCCTCGACCGGCTGGTCATCATCCGCACCCTCCCCTACGCCATCCAGGAGATCGTCCAGGTCAGTCAGCACCGCACACACGCTTGGTGGACGAGTGCGTGTGTGGGCACCATTGGGCTCTCTCTCTCTCTCTCTGTGTGTGTGTGTGTGTGTGTGTGTGTGCAGGGGGACCGACATAGTGTCGCCTCACGGGATCCCCGTCGACCTCCTCGACCGGCTGGTCATCATCCGCACCCTCCCCTACGCCATCCAGGAGATCGTCCAGGTCAGTCAGCACCGCACACACGCTTGGTGGACGAGTGCGTGTGTGGGCACCATTGGGCTCTCTCTCTCTCTCTCTGTGTGTGTGTGTGTGTGTGTGTATGTGTGTGTGTGTGTGTAGGTATTGGCCATTCGGGCTGAGACCGAGGGCCTGAAGGTGGAGGAGGACGCCATGACACACCTGGGCGAAATCGGCAGCAACACATCACTCAGGTGAGTTAGTGAGTGCGACACCACCACCCCCACAAGACGACGACAATAAGTGCCGCAGCAGGCACAGCCATCCATCTGTCTCTCTCTCTGTTTGTGTGTGCTAAGGTACGTTGTCCAGCTGCTGACGCCGGCCTCCATTTTGGCGTCGACCAGCGGGCGGGAGGCCATCACGCGGGCCGACATAGAGGAGATCGACACGCTGTTTTTCGATGCCAAGGCCAGCGCACGGCTGCTTATCCAGCAGGCAGACAAGTACATCTCCTAGGTAGTAGCCTCCAGTAGCCCAGCGACACAGACAAGTGTGTAAAGGACGGGAGTAGGGTAGCGCGTTAGGCTCTGTGGACGCAACGGGTGTGAGGAGAGAGGGGACTTCAATTCATTAATCACGCTCGGACAGGATTGGCCAGGATATGACCGTTGTGTGTGCAGTGTACCAGCGGTCTGTGACGTGTGGGGTTCAGTGAGCGATATTATCTTCACTCACATCGGATCTGACACGAACCACAAGGCTTAGCCCTCACAAGCCTTAGCTCACAATGGAGAAAGAGCGGTGGGAGCCTGTGGAGCAGGAGAAAAAGCACTTGGACCACCCAGTGGACTTGGAGGAAATGGACTCGGAGCCAGTGGACGATGAGCTGCGAAGCCTTCAGGAGCTGTTGGAGCTGTTGGCGAAAAAGCACTCGGACCAGCCAGTGGACTTGGAGGAAATGGACTCGGACTCGGAGCCAGTGGAGGATGAGCTGCCAGTGGACAAGAACTCGGTGCCAACCATTGAGGAGTTCTTGGAGATGTTGGAGCAGGACTGTGCCAGGAGGAAGGAAGAAACTGACAGGCTGCGGGAGGCAAACAGACTCTTGTAAGTACGTGGGCGAGAGGGAGGGAAGCTTGAGGGAGCCTAGCGACGCATTCACGCACGTCTTGTAATCGATATCTGTCATTCTCTCAGTGACCTGTACGGGCCAATGGCCACCTTGTTGGAGAAGAAGGGGAGTGGTTTGTATGGCTGGCAGCATCTTCTCAACGGTGATGTCCTCGTGGCGATCGGGATTCGGTCGCCCCCGTGGACCGAACAAGGGAAGAAGGACGTGTGAGTGGACCGCGTTAACGCGTAGACCTTTGCCGCGCACAGATCGTACCACGGGATGACGTGTGCGTGTTATGTATCGCGAGCCAGGCTGCCTGCATGGAGCAGACAACGCAGGAAGGTGTTCACGAGCGGGACTCGTTTTTCGATGGAATATTTGTATTTGATCATGATGGACCGAGGGAAGGGTGACAGACATCGGTGTGTATGGTTGGTAGGGTGTACAAAACCAAACAGCTGACTGACGCGAGTAGCCCTTGTGAGAGAGAGGAGACTTCAATTCACAAACGCATGAAGACAGCTGCATACACATGAAGGGTCCACTGTAGGCACGTCCATCCAGCCAGCCAGCCAGCACCGCGACGCACCTCACGCACACAGACAGACAGACAGACAGACGCACAGACAGCGACGGAAGCAGACAGGCAGAGGACGGCACACACGCACATGTCAGCCACCCACTCACCCGAGTGAGCGAGTCGCTGCGAGGTTAAAAAGCGACTCTTGGGTAGGTGGGTGTACGTCACTCATGTTGGGTGGGGTGTGTGGCTCTCTCCTCCATCCATCCATCGCACGACAAGTGTATGATACATACAGACAGAGACGATAGACAAAAGGCCACTTTGCTTTGCTCGCAGACAGACAGACACTCATTGATTGGATTGGGGGGAAATGACGGCACGACGGACGGGTGCTAAGCAGAGAGAGGGAGGGAGAGGGGGGAGAGGGGGTTCAAAAGGCAGGCCGACAGACAGACAGACAGACAGACAGAGAGGCTGTGAGATCGATCTCGTCAAAACGGCTGCCTGCCTCCATGCCATCCAATCACTGATGCAGCTCTACTAATCATCCTCCCTCCCTCCCTCTCATCTTCCCTGTCTGCCTGCCTGTCTGCCTGCCGTGTGCCGCTCTGCACCCCACACACGACCGAGAAAAAAGCAACGAACCATCCATTCATGCCCCCATCCTCGGTGCGGCGTATCTATGGCGCCCACAGACAGACTCAGACAGACATACGCACACGCACGCACGTACAGATAGGTACGTCCACTGACTGCACTCCATCCATCCATCCATGCATGGGCAGTCAGTAACAAATAAATCACCTTCTCGTCTCGTCGCTAGCTATCCCCCAGTCTCCAGCTACACATCTGTCTGTCTGTGTGTCTGTGTGTGTGTCTGTCGTCAAGCGGCTACCCCAGCTTGAGAGCCCGCTCCCTCCTGATGGTCCGGTTGATGCCGTGCGGCTCGTCGTGCTCAACTGCACACACACACACACACACACGCAGTTCTGTGGGAATGGTGCAGCGTGGGTGTGTGTGTGTGTGTTTCTTACGCAGCAGTGCGACGGCGGGGTCATGCCCCTGTGCATCTGCTTCCGTCACATCCGACCACACGGCATCTGCAGGACAGGACACCCAACACACACAACACATATACACCAACCAGGTCGACACGAGCTGACAGACATAGAGATTTGTCGGCTCGCTCACCGTCTTTGAGGAAGCCTTTGGTGCCGTCCAGGTGCCGCTTGAAGAACCGCCAACTGCACACACACAAAACACCACACCCCACATCACACCACATCACATTCAGTTGTGTGTGTGTGTGTACCTTGAGAATTCGCTCTTGGGGAGCTGCAGTTTGTGTCGTATCTTGGCCTTGATTTCAGACACCCTCTCGCCAGTCTGCACACACACACACACACACACACACACAGGGAGGAATGTTATGTTGCTGGCCGGTTTGGTTTGTTGGGTGTGTGGCTATGTGTTTGTTGCTGGCTGGCTGACTGACCTCGACAGCGATGAGGAAGGGGTTGCCGAACCGCTTGCCGTCCTTATTGGCGTGAAACACCTTCACCACCTGCCATACCACACACACACACGCCAAGCAAACAAACACACACGCGTCAATGTGTGGCTGGGCGTCAGCCAGCCCAACGCACCCACCCACCTTTGCCTTCTCCTTTTTGATCTTGTCCTTGGTCTGTGGGTCCCAGTCCGGCTCGACCCTCAGTGTCCAATAAAGGATGTTGGCCCGCGGCTCCCAGGACTCCTCGCCGTCCTTCTCCGTCCGCTGCTGCAGCCGCCGGCTGCCCCGCTGCTGCTGCGGCCGGCCGCTGCCGTGGTGGTCCTTGTCGCTGCCATTGTTGCCCGACGAGTGGGGCCAGAGGGCCTTGAGCGAAAAGTCAAGGCGCTTCCCCTCGTGCACCTGGAAGTAGCTGTCGTAGTGGTGCTTGGGCGGGGGCGGCTGGCTGCTGTGCCAGACGAGAGCGTCGGGCCGCTGGCCACCCACTCCTGGGCACTCGATGAGCCGCAGGGGGGTGTCAGGCTGGGGATCGAAGCCGCGCGACCGCATCTCGGGAGTGATCTTGCGGCGGACCTCCTGCAGGAGGTCGTTGAGGGTGGGCGACGTGGAGCTGGGCTCTGGGAGGTACAGCACCATGTAGCCGACGCAGTGGACCTGGTCGTTGAAGACCCGGACCACCCACGGCTTCATCCGGACGCTCTGGCAGACAGACAAGGAAACACACACCATACCATACATAGAGACGGTGAGACGTGACGGCCGGACAGTGCGTGGTTTGTCGGGTGTGTTCCTGTGGTGCTGTGTGGGTGCTTTGCTCACTGCCAGTGTGAGAGAGACCATGCGTCTCTTGGGGAAGGGCAGCTTCACCACATGGGCCACAGCGAGGTCGTGAGAGTAGGAGGGAAAGAGCTGCTGCACGTCCATCTCGTAGTGCAGGACGAAGGCGTTGTTGGTCCGGTCGTCGTAGGGGTCGATCATCCGCGACACACGGTCCGAGGAGAGGTTGACGGGCGATGTGGCGTAGGCGTAGGGGTGCCGCGAGAAGACCCATATCATCTCGGGGTTGACGTCCAGGTGCCACGCCATCGCCTCATACACCTGCACACACACACAGAGAGACAGAGAGAGAGAGATGGCCGCACACACACACACACACACACACAGAGAGAGAGAGAGAGAGATGGCCGTTTGAACCATTGACCATGTGTGAGTGTGTGTTTGGGAGAGAGGGAATAGGGAGGAGACTAACGTGTGTACCTCTGCCTCCTTCCACCGCGTGTCGACGGTGATCTCCACCGTCTTGACGGGCCGGTACTTGGGATGGTTGCCAAACTCGTCCACACACGCGTCCATCACCGAACCACCACCTCCTCCACCGCCACCCTGGCCGCCGCCCTTCTTCTCGCCCTCACCACCACCGCCCCCAATCTGCTGGTCCTTGTCGACCGGCGAGGCGCCGCCGCCCCCGCCCTCTGCCGAGCCGCCCTCAGACATGACAGCGTCTTCCTTGCTGCCATTCTGCATCATGGCTGATGGCGGGGAGGGTCCTGGCTCGGCGGGGGACATGCTGGCATCCGCGTCGCCGCCCTTCTTGCCCTCCTGCTGGCCGCCGCCGGACGCCTCTCGCTGCCGCTCCTTCTCACGGTCCTCTGACACCAGACGAAGGAGCTCCCCCGAGACGCCCTCGTGCTCCGACAAAATCTGAATCAACCAACGATGAGTGGATGAGTGGATGGATGAGGCAAAGGATGGATATCTCTTGGTCTGTCTGTCTGTCTGTCTATGTGTGTGTCAGTTCAGTCACCTGGAGGGCGTTGTAGAGTTTGACGACCATGGTGCGCTTGCAGCTTCTGTTCTTGACCCACTGGTGAGGCTCCTTGTCGGGGAAGTAGGCCTCGATAGGCCCCTCCGGCAGCTGCTTCTCCATCGCCGAAGCGTGTTCCAGCGCAGCGTCAACCGCCAAGTCCATCAGTGCCGCAGGCGGGAGCGGCTTGGTCGGCACCCGAACCGACTGGCTGTCCGATGACGTCGTCGTCGTCACCACCGCACGATCGCCCTCCTCTCCCCCGCCCGCAGCCGCACTGACACCTGACGCATCGGCCAAAGGTGTCTGTCCATTCGGGAGCTCCGGCGCGGCGGGCCGGGCGTCGTGCATCTCTTGGTCGGGTGGCTGGGCGGGGACGGCTGCATCGGCCGCCTCGGTCTCCTGCGCCGCCCCCTCTTGGTCGACGATGCGCTGCGCCCTGGGTTCGAAGCGCTCGTCGATGTCCTTCTCGATGCGGTCGTATGTGCGCTGCAGGTCGTTCTCACGGTCCCACCTGTCCTTGTTGTACTTGTCCTCCCTCGCCCTGTCTCTCTCCGCTTCTGTCTCCGAGACGGAGCGGCACACGACGAGGACGTCGCCGTTGATGATGTTGGCGCGGTCGAAGTAGGTCTGGGGGTTGATCTTGGCGTAGGCCCGGCCGGCCTTCTGCTCCTCGAACAGTTGGTAGAAGGGCATGTGGGCCCACAGGTGGGGGCGGTCGTAGGCGTCGCGGTGGCGCAGGGGGTCCACGGACGAGGAGTGCTGCTGCCACGCGTAGCCGCGCCAGTCATCGGGCGGCAGGACCAGACGGCCGGCGTCGATCAGGTGCTGTCCGTGCTCCAACAGGCGGATGATGCGATTGTGCGCAAACAGCACTAACACCTGCACACACACGTGCAGAGAGAGAGAGAGAAACAGAGAGACGTGTGAACGAACGACCCTCCAGCCACTGCACTGGGTGTGTTGGGTGTCTGTCTGTCTGTCTGGGGGGGAGGGGGGATTACGGACCTGGTTGACGTAGACAATGTTGGCTGCGTCGTTTTTGGAGAACTGCCAGAGGCCGAGGTTGAACATCTCGTGTGTGATGATGTCCCAGTACTTGACGTAGAAGGTCTGGGTGCCGCTCTTCATCAAGAGGCCCGGGGCGATCTCGTCCTCTCTCAAGTGCTGCTGCGCGCACTCGTCTCGGTACCACTCCTGCTGGGCCGGGAGCTCGAACCGACGAGGGTTGGTGGCGTGGAAACAGGGGTACCACCTTTGGTGGCACTGGACCATGACGAACAGCACTGGGTGAGTGCGGTCCCGCCGGACGGCGTAGAGCTCGCTGACGAATCGCTTCTCGGACTGGGTGACGATCTTCCAGCGGGGCTCGCACTGGCGGCGGTACTGCACGCTGCCGAGGAAATTGACGGCGAAGAGCTGGCTGTGAAGGCCCGTCTTGCGGTTGATGGCCGAGACGATGTCCCACTGGGAGGCGTCGCGCTTGATGCCCTCGAGCTCGAACTGGTAGGGCCACTCCAAGGGGCTGGGCCACATGCCAGGCACCTCATTGCGGAAGCGGTGCTCCATCACCACACGGATCCTGCACACCGACAGACAACACACACAGATGAGTAGTGGATGTGCTGTGGTGTCTGGCTGGCCGGAGGGAGGTGCGGACCTCATGTTGTTTGCGATTTCCTCTCTGAGTTGGAGGCGCTTGAAGCTCTCCTCCTCCTCTCGCTGCACACGCTTGACCAACTCGGGGTTTGCCTGACAACAAACAGGCCACACAGACACATCTCTATCTCCCTCCCTCCCTCCCTCCCTCCCTCCCCCTCTGTGTGGGTGGGCACCCCCCACCTGTTTGGGGTCAGGCTGGCAGAGGATGTCCTGGGCCTCGCTCTCCTTGACGTAGACGAGCATGTAGGCGTTGCCGCGCCGCTCGTCGCGCTTCCAGTGGTCGTCCTTGGGCGGCATGGGCCGGTCCCTGATCTTCTCGTAGTACTCGCTCTCGGCGATGATGAACTTGCCGCCGAAGTTCTCGTCGATGGCCGCCACGCTAGAGGTCGAGTAGACCGTGTCGTCGTCGAACCGGATCCACTGGCTGCCGGGGGTCGGCCGGATGAAGCAGTAGTAATGGCCACTGCCAACCTCACCTTAGATTAGATACACACACACAGACACAGAGAGAGAGAGAGATCCACCGTGTCGTGTTTGCCGGTCGTTCTCCTTGTCTCTCTTTGTGTGTTGGTGGGGCCGACCTTACCCTGGTGGACGACTACGGTGTGGAGCATGTATGTGCCGGCCCCCTGGCAGAAGGGCTCGAGGTCGAGGGTCTCGGGGAACTCGAAGCGGTCGTTCACCTTAGCCATGTCCATCCGCTCCAGATCGAACTGACAAACAGATAACAACACACAGGGATGTGTGTGTGTGTGTTGGGGGGGAGCTTCCTCTGTCTCTCTCCCTCTCTGCGTGTGTGTGTACCTGGAAGCGTTTGAGGTGGAAGTGCAGCACCGGTGGGAATTTGAGGAAGCGCGTGCCCTTCTTGGCGTTCTGCTTGCCGAACTTGTCGGTCTCGTATTTGTTCTCGCCCTCCAGCAGCTCCTCCTGTGTGTAGTTGCGCAGAGACGCCTCAAGGTTCGAATGCCCGCGCACATCCAACTGTGCACACAAAGAAAGACACCCACACACACATTTTATGGCACATGAGGGTCTAGGGCTGTGTGTGTGTGTGGGGTGGGGGGAAGGCTGCACACCGAAATGTCGTAGAACTTTTCGGTCTTTTTGGAGGTGTAGTCAACCTCAGTGCAGGACACGTACTGCTCGAACTCGCCTTCAAACAGACGGGCAATGGTGCCGTCCACAGAGGTACCCTGACAACACACGGCACACACAACACAACACAACACAACACACGGCACACAGAAGCCAGCATGTGCGTGTGTGCGTGTGTGCGTGGGGGGTTAGTGACTGCAGTGACGGACCTTCATTTGCTCCTCGAGTTTGTCGCAGAGGAGCCTGCTCAGCTCCTGGGCGTCGTGCTGCGTGAAGGCCTCGACCGAGTCCCACCCAAACGACCTGCACCACAACACACACACACATGGATGATCTATCTCTTTCCCCCCCTCTCCACTCGCCCTGCGTGTGTGTGTGTGTGTTTGAGTGTACTTGATGAGTTGGTTGCAGTCGACGGCCTGGTCTGACTGGTGGAGGTAGTGGAAGACCGTCTGCAGTGCCAAAGCCACAGAGGGCGTCTTCTCCTCCTACATCACACAATCACACACACATACACACACACACACAGAAGACACCCACATACTCGAGTGTTCAGCGTGTGGAAGTGTGGCCCTCGGTGTGTCTTGTCTTGCTTCTTACGGCGAATGGGTCCATGTCGGCGTCTCCATCGCCCTCCGTCTCAGTCTCGCCTACACCACTCTCACTGACACCACAACACAACACAACACACAAGACACCATACGAACGATCCACCTCGTCGTGTGTGCGTTAAGCCACCCTCCCCCTCCTCCCCCCTCACCGACCCGTCTCTGTGCGATCTCTGTCTGTCGGTCCGCTGCGCCTCCTCCGTGTCCATCGGCATGGGACCGCTCTCACTCCCACCACGGCCACCGCCACCCACAGGTGGGGGAGGGGGCGGCTTGCCGCCAGCAGGGACGGCGGCTGCTGCAGCGGCAGCAGCAGCAGCAGGAGGTCCCTCTCTCTTGCCGCCGTCTGCCGTGTCCGACGGCGAGGGCGACTCCTTCGTCGAATCCTTGCCAGCCAGCAGCTGATATCACCAGACAGATAGAGACACACGCACACAGAAAGTGGCTGCGGTGGGGTGCGGTGGGTCAGTCCCCCCCTGTCAGACGCACCTCAACGTCCTTCTCGTGCGTCATGCGATAGATGGCGTCTGTGAGTTTGCCCGTGTGGTAGAGCGACTGCAGGAGGCTGTTCATGTAGCACGTCGCCCCGCTGTTGCGGATGCCGATGTAGCCGTAGTCGCCACGGGGGTTGGTGAAGGGGCCCGTGTTGGCCTCGATGTACGGCATCGCCGCCGCCCGCACCACCAGGGCGCCTTCGGGGTCCAGCCACGGGTCCAGCGGCTTCAACTGCACACAACACAGAGAAATACAGGGACAAGTGGGAGAGAGGCAGGTGTGTGATTGGGTGGTGTGGGCGGTGTGGGGGCGTACGTCGTCGAGGTTGATGAACTCGTGATATCCTCTGTCGGCGTCCTGCTTGCTGAACGAGTGGTGGTCGGCCTTGTACGCCGAACCACTGCACACACACACGCACACACAGGCGCAGAAACACGAGTTTCCTCCTCCTGCTTGTATGTGTGTGTGGGTCAGTAGACTGAGAGACTGACCGTATGTCGTGCCACTTGACGACGAGGATGGAGTAGCTGGTGTACTGGTACTGCACCAGGGGGTTGATCTGCTTGTCGAACACACCCTCCACAAAGATCGACAAGGCCTTCTGGTGGGACCTGCTACACACACAACACGGCAGCCACAGCCACACCCAATGCACCCATCCCTCCCTCTCTCTCCCTCTCCCTCCCTCTGACTGTGTGTGCGCGTGTGGGTGTTGGTTACTTGCCGCCCTTGATGCCCCTGGGGAAGAGCATGATTCTGAAATCGAATGCGCCGATCCGCTTCGGCGGCGAAGAGCGGATGGCCTCCTTGACCTCGAGCGGGGGCGTGGTCTTCAACACGTCCTTGAAATTCGGTAAACGAAACTCCATCTGACCCACACAGACCACAGACAGACACAGTGAGTGGGTGTCATTAAAGGGTGTCATTGTGGGTCGTGTGGGTCGGGTCGCATCGCACGCACCTCATGCTCGCCTAGCGGCGGCAGCTTGTCGCCCGTCCACTCGCACACAAAGGGCGCCTGTGTGGGCTCGCCATCGGGGTAGCTCGGCAAACCCCTACCCCGCCCACCGGCAGAAGGCGACACACCTCCACCACCACCGCCCCCTCCCCCGCCCCCGCCGTGACTCATCCGCCCGTGGGCGTGCTGCTGCTGCTGCTGCTGCTGTGCGGGGGAGAGAGCGCCGACCTCCCGGCCAGTGGTGCCGCCCTCTGCGCCCATGATGCCCCTGACGACCCCGCCGACGGTGCGGGTGAATCCGGTCATGGTGTAGTTGCTCCACCCACCGGCTTCCACCTGCTCGATGGACTCGCCGATGCCGCCCCCACCCCCGCCGGCCGTGGGGTGCTGTGAGGGGTGGGTGTCGCCCATGGACATGTCCTCGCCCATGCGGGAGTTGCCGCCGCCCATGAGTGGTGGGTCCTGAGGAGGAGGCTGAGGCTGCTCGGGGTCCGAGATGGCCTGCTGCTGCTGCTGCTGAGCCGTGTGGTGCTGTTGCTGGGCAGCAAGGGGGTTATTGGTGGTGTTGGTGGTGTTGGCTGTGCTCGTCTCAGTCTGGATTGCGGTCTCGGTCGGCTGCTGCTGCTGCTGCTGCTGCTGGTGAGCCGTGTGGTGGTGGGGCTGCTCTTCCTGTGGGCTGGTTGCCGTGGTCTGGTTGGCCTCAGTCGTCGGGTCAGGGACCTGACACACACAGCACAGACAGACACATGAATGAGGACATTCGACTATGGACCCTCCTGATGTGGATCTGGATGTTGTGCCTCGTGTGGTGTGGTGTGGTGTGGTGTGGTGTGCGCACCTGTGTGGTGTCTACAGGTCCGTTGTCCGTCTCGGTCTGCTGGTGCTGCTGGTGCTGCTGCTGCTGGTGCCTGGTTTGCGATGTGGAGAGAGGGCCGCCGAGCGACGGCAGCACTGTCGGGTCTGGGACGCCCGACGCCGCACTCGTGAGAACCTCCTGGTGGTCTTGCTGCTGGTGGTGGTCGTCGGAGTGCGTGTGGTTGCTGTTGGTGCTGTTGGTGTGTTGGTGCAGTATCGGCACTGTGGGGAATGGGGGCAGGGCCTGTGCAGAGACACCGACAGCGTCTACACTCTGTGAGCACCCCGTTGTTGAGTCTTGGGGAGCCGGGGAGGGGAGGGGAGCCGGGGAGGGGTCGGAGTGGTGCTGCTGGGGATTGACAGACACTGACACAGACACAGACACAGGCGCGGGCGGTGGGGCTGCTGGGGGGCCGGCCGACGATAGGCAGGGCTCGACCACCGATGGCAGGCCGTTCTCCTGGGGCAAAGAAGGCTGGTGCTGACGCTGCTGATGCGGCTCGACGATCGACTGGTCGGGCGCCTCAGCAGGCTGCTGCTCTTCCTGCTGGTCGGCAGCAGGAACAGATGGGTCAACTGTACTTGACTCTACAGCCAAATCTGACACGCAGCACACACACATACACACACATACTAGGGCAGCCAGTGGTGCGTTGGCTGGTGCTCTCTGCGGGTCAAG